TCCAAAACCCAGCCCTGCAGCACTGGGGGACCCAAAATCTCCGTGATTCGCCCCAAAAATGTCACTGACCCCCCCCAGGCAGCACGGAGATCTATGGACCCAAAAATCCCCCAATTCGGCCCAAAAATCCCCAAATTCGCACCAAAAATCCCCAAATTCGCACCGAAATTCGCTCCAAAACCCAGCCCTGCAGCACTGGGGGACCCAAAATCTCCGTGATTCGCCCCAAAAATGTCACTGACCCCCCCCAGGCAGCACGGAGATCTATGGACCCAAAAATCCCCCAATTCGGCCCAAAAATCCCCAAATTCGCACCAAAAATCCCCAAATTCGCACCGAAATTCGCTCCAAAAGCCAGCCCTGCAGCACTGGGGGGGACCCAAAACCTCCGTGATTCACCCCAAAATCAGCTCAGACCTCTACAGAACCCCTATGATCCAAAAACCCCAAAAATCCCAGAATTCGCACCAAAAATCCCCAAATTCGCCTCAAAACGCAGCCCAGATCCAGCCCCGCCCCCCGCCGACAGCACTGGGGGGGACCCAAAACCTCAGTGATTTACCCCAAAATCAGCTCGGAGCTGAAGGAACCCCCCAGGACCCAAAAACCCCAAATTCGGCCCAAAAACCCCGGAACTCCCCCCAAAATCCTCTTCTCTCTGTCCCAGCTCCTGCTTTTGGCCCTTTTTTTGCCCTTTTTCCCATTTTTACTCCATTTTACTCCATTTCTCCCATTTTTCCCCATTTTTCCCCATTTTAACCCCGTTTCCCCCCATTTTCCTCTATTTTAAAACCCATTTTTCCCGTTTTTTGCAGTTTTTGCCCCATTTTACCCTTGGTTACAGCAGCTGTCAGGGTGCTCTTGCCATGATCCCATTTTTTCCCCACTTTTAACCCATTTTTTCCCCACTTTTAACCCATTTTTTCTTCAAAGGAGGCAGAACATTTAATATAAAATAACTATTTCCTACAAAATCTAGACATCTCTTCCTGGATTTACAGTTTCCTTGATGGTGCTTATCTTAGGAAAGGCAAGCTGGAAGGTATGATTTCTGATCCTTCTTTTCACTTCATAGCCAGCACAAAAATTTGGAATAACTGTAAATTTAAATTTTCTTGGATTCAGTCAAGAACTAGGCTCAGCTTCAAACTGGATTTAGTTTTGCCCACATTTAATGAAAATTATAAAATGGAGTTTGATGGGTTACATGTGTAAGATTTGTTGTCTGTGAGAAATAGTAAAATAGTCCATGAAGAGAAGGAAGAATAGAGGACAGTCAGCTAACGTGCATTTATATGCCCCAAAATTTCATGTCAAAACTACATATGTTTTAGACACTTAGAATGTTTCCTTCCAGTTGTTTGATGATGGCAGAAAATATTATATACTGAGTAATCATACTTACTATGGCTTGAATTTAGTATGATTAGAGATAATAAAGAGAGGTCTTTTGGTATGGGCCCCAACACAGCTTCAAAGGACATTTACACACTACAGTTAAGAGTATTTGCAGTTGTTCAAATATGAGAAATTTTTAGAGACTATTCCAGTATAAATACTGACTGTGGAGAAAATTAGGAATATTACTAAATCCCAATTCATAAAGCATCAGATTTCAGACTTACATTCTACAGACTATAGAAACAAATCAATATTAATTGATCTATCAATATTAGATAATGCTCTAATATATCTACCAGGTAGATATATTAGATATATAAGTGCTCTCATTATTAATTAAAATCAAAACGTTCCCAAAATGCCCCAAAAATGCCAAAAAATGCCAAAAATGGCTCCAAAATCCCCAAATCCCCCCAAAACGCCTCAAAAATCTCTCGAACCCCCCCAGATTCCCCCAAATCCCCGAAATTCACCCCAAAATCTCCCCAAACACGCATCAAATAATAATGATGAATTTTTTTTTGTTTTATTTTTTTGTACAAAAGTCAAAAATCGGGGTTTGCGCCAGAGGGGGAGGGGCCGGGGGGGTCAGGTGAGAACGGGCAGGTGAGCGCGGGCGGGAACAGGTGAGACAGGTGAGGACAGCCCAGGTGAGCTCAGGTGAGCCCAGGTGTGCCCAGGTGAGCACGGACAGGTGAGCACGGGCGGGAACAGGTGAGCACAGGTGAGCACAGGTGAGGTCCAGGTGAGGTTCAGGTGAGCACAGACAGGTGGGAACAGGTGAGAACAACCAGGTGAGCCCAGCCCAGGTGAGCCCAGGTGAGGTTCAGATGAGCCCAGGTGAGCTCAGGTGTGCCCAGGTGAGGTCCAGGTGAGGTCCAGGTGAGCACAGACAGGTGGGAACAGGTGAGAACAGCACAGGTGAGACAGGTGAGCTCAGGTGAGGTCCAGGTGAGCTCAGACAGGTGAGACAGGTGAGAACAGCCAGGTCAGCCCAGCACAGGTGAGCTCAGGTGAGCTCAGGTGAGCCCAGGTGAGCACAGGTGAGCACAGACAGGTGAGAACAGCCCAGGTGAGCCCAGCCCAGGTGAGGTTCAGGTGAGGTTCAGGTGAGCACAGGTGAGCTCAGCTGAGATCCAGGTGAGCACGAATGGGAACAGGTGAGAGACAGGTGAGACTCAGGTGAGAGACAGGTGTGCCCAGGTGAGCTCAGGCAGGTGAGAACAGCCCAGGTGTGCCCAGGTGTGCCCAGGTGAGCCCAGGTGAGGTTCAGATGGGCTCAGACAGGTGGGAACAGGTGAGAACAGCCAGGTGAGCACAGGTGAGACTCAGGTGTGCCCAGGTGTGTCTCAGGTAACAGTGAGGGAGAACGCCCGGTAGCCCAGGTGAGCTCAGGTGAGCCCAGGTGAGCTCAGGTGAGGTTCAGGTGAGCCCAGGTGAGAGCAGCCAGGTGAACCCAGCCCAGGTGTGCTGAGGTGAGCACAGGTGAGAACAGGTGACATTGAGCTGTCCTCAGGTGAGCACAGGTGAGGTTCAGGTGAGCCCAGGTGAGCTCAGCTGTGCCCAGGTGAGCTCAGGTGTGTCCAGATGTGCCCAGGTGAGGCTCAGGTGAGGTTCAGGTGAGCTCAGGTGAGTTCAGGTGTGTCCCAGCCGTTCTCAGGTGTGTCCCAGGTGAGCTCAGGTGCTCTCAGGTGTGTCTCAGGTAACGGTGAGCGAGAACGCCCGGTAGCCCAGGTTGGTGAAGACGTCGATCTTGGGGCTGTTCCTGGCTGTGCCCAGGTGTGTCTCAGCTGTTCCCAGGTGTTCCCAGGTGTGCCCAGGTGTGCCCACTCAGGTAACGGTGAGCGAGAACGCCCGGTAGCCCAGGTTGGTGAAGACGTCGATCTTGGGGCTGTTCCCGGCTGTGCCCAGGTGTGTCCCAGGTGTGTCCCAGGTGTGCCCAGGTGAGGTTCAGGTGTTCCCAGGTGAGCTCAGGTGTGTCCCAGGTGTGTCCCAGGTGTGTCCCAGGTGTGCCCAGGTGTGTCTCAGGTAACGGTGAGGGAGAAGGCCCGGTAGCCCAGGTTGGTGAAGACGTCGATCTTGGGGCTGTTCCTGGCTGTGCCCAGGTGTGTCTCAGGTAACGGTGAGGGAGAACGCCCGGTAGCCCAGGTTGGTGAAGACGTCGATCTTGGGGCTGTTCCTGGCTGTGCCCAGGTGTGTCTCAGGTAACGGTGAGGGAGAACGCCCGGTAGCCCAGGTTGGTGAAGACGTCGATCTTGGGGCTGTTCCTGGCTGTGCCCAGGTGTGTCTCAGGTAACGGTGAGGGAGAACGCCCGGTAGCCCAGGTTGGTGAAGACGTCGATCTTGGGGCTGTTCCTGGCTGTGCCCAGGTGTGTCTCAGGTAACGGTGAGGGAGAACGCCCGGTAGCCCAGGTTGGTGAAGACGTCGATCTTGGGGCTGTTCCTGGCTGTGCCCAGGTGTGTCTCAGCTGTTCCCAGGTGTTCCCAGGTGTGCCCAGGTGTGCCCAGGTGCTCTCAGGTAACGGTCAATGAGAACGCCCGGTAGCCCAGGTTGGTGAAGACGTCGATCTTGGGGCTGTTCCCGGCTGTGCTCAGGTGTGTCTCACCTGTTCCCAGGTGTGTCTCAGGTGTGTCTCAGGTGTTCCCAGGTGCTCTCAGGTGTGCCCAGGTGTGTCTCAGCCATGCCCAGGTGTGCCCAGGTGAGGTTCAGGTGTTCCCAGGTGTGCCCAGGTGCGCTCAGGTAACGGTGAGCGAGAAGGCCCGGTAGCCCAGGTTGGTGAAGACGTCGATCTTGGGGCTGTTCCCGGCCACCGTCAGCACCTGCCGAGGGGCGGGGTCAGGCCACGCCCACCCGCCACGCCCTCACCTGCGGCTCAGGTGAGTTTGGGGTCACCTGGAGCCCAGGTGAGCGCGGGGGGGTTGGGGAGGGGTTTGGGGGAGCTCAGGTGAGTTTGGGGTGGGCTCAGGTGTGCTCAGGTGTGCTCAGGTGTGTCACAGGTGTGTCACAGGTGTGTCACAGGTGTGCTCAGGTGTGTCACAGGTGTGTCACAGGTGTGTCACAGGTGTGTCACAGGTGTGTCACATCTCAGGTGTGGCTCAGGTGTGTCACAGGTGTGTCACAGGTGTGCTCAGGTGTGTTCAGGTGTGTCACAGGTGTGTCACAGGTGTGTCACAGGTGTGTCACAGGTGTGCTCAGGTGTGTCACAGGTGTGTGTTTGGGTGTCTCAGGTGTATTTTGGGGTGAATTCGGGTGATTTTGGGGCTCAGGTGAGCTCACCTGGTGCTCAGGTGACCTGGGGTGCAGGCAGAGGCCGGGGCAGGTTTGGGGTGTATTTTCGGTTGTATTTTGGGGTGAATTCGGGCGATTTTGGCTCACCTGGTGCTCAGGTGACCTGGGGTGCAGGCAGAGGCTGGGGCAGGTTTGGGGGTGTATTTTCGGGTGTATTTTGGGGTGAATTCAGGTGATTTTGGGGTTACCTGGTGCTCAGGTGACCTGGGGTGCAGGCAGAGGCTGGGGCAGGTTTTGGGGCAGGTTTTGGGGTGATTTCAGGTGATTTTGGCTCACCTGGTGCTCAGGTGACCTGGGGTGCAGGCAGAGGCTGGGGCAGGTTTGGGGGTGTATTTTCGGGTGTATTTTGGGGTGAATTCAGGTGATTTTGGGGTTACCTGGTGCTCAGGTGACCTGGGGTGCAGGCAGAGGCTGGGGCAGGTTTTGGGGCAGGTTTTGGGGTGATTTCAGGTGATTTTGGCTCACCTGGTGCTCAGGTGACCTGGGGTGCAGGCAGAGGCTGGGGCAGGTTTGGGGGCAGGTTTTGGGGTGAATTCGGGCGATTTTGGCTCACCTGGTGCTCAGGTGACCTGGGGTGCAGGCAGAGGCTGGGGCAGGTTTGGGGTGTATTTTCGGGTGTATTTTGGGGTGAATTCGGGCGATTTTGGCTCACCTGGTGCTCAGGTGACCTGGGGTGCAGGCAGAGGC